AGATTTGACATTTTTGCCACTGAATGTGTTGCTCAATTTCAGCTCATGCTAGACAGCTGGAATGATCACATATTCAGCAACATCAAGCAGCGACTACAAGACAGTGCAATGAAACTAGTGCTGGCGGAAAGGAATGGAGAGGCCTTTGAAAAACAGCTCGTCATCGGTGTGCGGGAATCATACGGTGAGTTTTTATCCCAGAAACAAGTCAGCCTGCGAGCCTTAGGCCTCTCTCCTAGGGCAAGTTCGGGCACAAGCTATTATTCGACCAGTAGTCAGACCCTAGTTGACCTATTTTTTAAAATCTCACTGTTACATTTACAGCGTACATGGTCTTTGAAATCTCATACAGATATTTTCACGTGAATGGTTCCCTTCGTTATGATGAGTGAAATCGGCTATTGATAGCCAGTGGTGCGACAATACCCCTGGGCCTGGTCCCAAATGGTTGACTAGATCATCCAGACCGGCCACTGTTTGGGCGGTGTCAGTGGAACTGTAGTTAACCATAGTCGTCGCTCGAACTTACCCTAAATATTTTGAAAGAGTAAGATTTTAGGAGTGCTGAAAATATGGGTTGAGGACCCACTTAGATCTGTAGATCTTGCCGTTCCTGTTGTGGTAGTCTATCTCAAATAGCTGTCTTTTTCTTTTTCTCTCTGTTCTTCAGTCAATCTGTTTTCTGGGGCTGAAGACCGTTTGCAGATTTACCGGGAGAACTTTGAGCGGGCCTACCTGGAAGCCACGGACACGTTCTACAAGAGAGTCGGGCCCGAGTACCTGCGGGAGAACGGCGTACAAAATTACATGAAATTTGTGAGTCGGCCATTTTAACCCGACCTCGTTGGGTCATAAGCACTCCCTCACTCATACAGGAGAGAGATTGTTAGGCCAACCCTTTAAACTGGACCTCTTTGTGTCAGTGTGAAAACTGCATGTTTAAAATCAGTCAGTGCCGTGCACACGCGTCTTGTGTGGGCCCATGCTTCGCACTGGCTACATTCTCTGACGCAGGTTCCATCTACGTCAGTTTTCTGACCTGCCAAAAATGTCAGAACTCAATTAGGTGTGGACGCCAACGACCGTGCTGTCAAATTGTTCACAAGGATTGAAGAGTCCAAAACCCAGTCTGCACATCCCTCCAAAAGTATTTAGGATGTTTGTAGCCACAGATTGTGGATTTTAAGGTGCTTGAAATGGGAAAATAATCTTTGTGATGTTCCGCTCATTAGGCTGACAATAAACTGAAGGAGGAGGAGACGAGAGCCTTGAGGTACCTAGAGACCTGCCGAGGCAGCAACTCAGTCACCGCTGTAAGTCCTTGCAACTTTAACCTTAAAGCCGTCGGTACATTTTTAACCACTCTGCATCAGAGGATGTGTAAGCGTGATTTGGCTGTCCGAATACACAGGCAAGACTGATAAATTATAAAAACGTCAAGACTGCCTTGACTCTGGATGATGTTTAAAGATGCTACTTTTCCGTTTGTTTAGTGCAAGTCCAAGTCTGAGAAGTGTGTGAGGGCAGACCGTCTGCTGAGCTTGAATTAGCTGTTGTGTATGGCTTGTTAGGGAGGCAAATGCCGCTCGCTCCTTGGGCGCGCCCTGGAGTGTTGAAAAATATAAGGTTGTAGAAAAAAAAGTCGCACAAACACTCTTCAATGACTCTTGCAAATTGATATTTGCGGCCTTTGGCCATGTACCTTGGTTGCTGTAACTTGCCTTTGAGTGAAAGTCAGAATTTTCGGCCAAGGATAAATATATCATTGGCAATGGATTGAGGGACCGTCATGTATCTCTCAAAGTCCTCCAGTCATAGGAGACAGTGGCAAATTCTTCCCTCTTGAACTGTCAAGGGGCGCTCAGCTCTGTAATGCCTGGGCTCCCCTTCTCTGAAATCCTGGAAACTCCTCCCAAAATTTCTTGATCTGCAAGGTTCAGGGAGGATGTGGGGTTGATGTATGGAAACTGTTATCCCTTGTGCATTCTCCGACTAATAAGCACGTTCAGAGTGCATAATTTTGTAGGTACACAGTCACCATGAAGCAACATGTCTTTGTACTTTTCTTTGTAGTTGTCCGAGTGCTGTGTCCAAGCCTTGGTCACGTCCTTCAGGGAGGAAATCCTTCGGGAATGCGCGCCAATGATCAAGAACAATGAGACAGAAAGTGAGTAGAAATACTCACTTCAATAACAAATGGAAAGGCCGCGGAGGACGTGCAGAGTTTCAGGATGAACTTTCATTTGTTTACAACATATCTTGCTCAGCTCGTTCAATACAGGTGTAATTTTTGGGGGGCTCTCAGAGAGTCCAAATCGCGCAAAGAAATGTTTGCATTACACGGATAAACTTCTGTATTTGGTTTGTTAGAGCTTCACCAGATTTTTGCAAGTGTAGAACAGTGCTCAATGCTCACGTTTACCAGACTGTGCCTTTGATACTGTCTTCGTTTTAGGTTCTGTCACAATTCAATGCAGTGCCATTTAACCCTGATGTTTGTGAGGGCAGTGGCATAGAAAGGGCATTTTCTTGGGGGGGGGGTGTCCCAGAGTCAAGTTGCCGACTTGTAACTTGTTCGCCAACCTCATGTCTTGTAAAATTCATAAAGTGATCCGTGTTGCGCTACATGTCGTGCTTCGGGTAAAATGCCAATGGCCAACGCATGTCGTTCATGTACTTACTTATTTATTCATTTGCCGACTGAAGCTCTATTTGCCGACTGGGAATCAATTGGCTCGTCAAACTGTCTTTGTGTTTTCATTTGGAAGTGCTCCACGGAGCTTGGTTTGAGTGCTGCATAGAATTACATGTACCTCACTAAGCCTTTGAAGCATTAATCTTTGACCCTCTCACAAACTCAAATTGTTTACAATAAATGTACATGTAGATGCTAGTCTGAAACGTTCTTGCTGTTTAACACTCACCTTTTTTTTTCATTGTGTGCAGAACTGAATCTGATGTTCAGGTTAATGGACAGGGTACCAGACGGCATCAATCCAATGCTACGGGATCTGGAGCATCATATCATGGAAGCTGGCCTGGCCGACATGGTGGCAGCTGCTGATATCATTGTAACAGTAAGGGACCAGAGTACCACCCTGGGATTCTGCCAAACATTTCATATACACAGATTACATGTCAAGTTCTGACCTTGTCCAGTTGTCACCTAGCGTAGAGTGAAGAGTTAATGTCGAACAAGAAATCATTTCAAGCAAATGCGGTGAAGCGTTGTCCTCTCCAATGCACTTTGTCCATCCTAGCAAAACAGTCAATTGTGTGCCTGTTTCCACTTAAATTTCAGGTTATACAGCCATCTTTGCCAAGGGTAATCCATTACAGCACTTCTGTACAGAGAATAACTGCAGCATTGCTAGTCTGACTGCCCCAAGTGAAATTTCTTGTCCATTTTATTTCACACGGATACCTGTACGCTTTAATCCTCAGGATTCTGAGAAGTACATTGAGCGGCTTCTAGAGTTATTCAACAAATTCAGTGCCCTCGTCAAAAATGCATTCAATGATGATCCTCGTTTCCTTACGTCAAGAGACAAGGTAAATGGAGAAATGAAACATATACGTGCTTCTAGTCTCATGGGAGTTAATTTCTTGTACAGTGCATTTTTGGCCGCACTCCTGCAATTATTTGTTATTCTTTGTGTCTTGAGGAGAGACTACTTATATGCAAAAGGCAGTTTGGAAATGCACTACCTGCTGTTTGATTATAGACCTTATGCATATGACGTCAAGTTGATTATAGACCTTATGCATATGACATCAGGTTGATTATAGACCTTATGCATATGACGTCAGGTTGATTATAGACCTTATGCATATGACGTCAGCTTAGAGGGTATTTCTGTCTTCCTGTGGAGTATGCTCGAGTAAACTTTTTTGTACATTCTTTGTAATGACATTAAAATAACAAATAACCTCTGAGACATCAGCGGTGCCTAATCTCTATATTGATAGTTGTTAAGATTGCCAAACTTGGAGAAAATTTCCAACTTTGCAAAAGTTGCAGTTCAGTCCGGCAGTCACAAGTTAATCACAAATCGGTTACAAGTTAATCACAAATCGGTCACAAGTTAGTCACAAAGAGGTCACAAGTTAATCACAAATTGGTCACAAGTTAATCACAAATCGGTCACAAGTTAATCACAAAGAAGTCACAAGTTAATCACAAATTGGTCACAAGTTAATCACAAATCAGTCACAAGTTAATCACAAATTGATCACAAGTCAATCACAAATTGATCACAAGTCAATCACAAATTGGTCACAAATTGGTCACAAGTTAATCACAAATCAGTCACAAGTTAATCACATATTGGTCACAAGTTAACCACAAAATGGTCTCAAGTTAATCACAGGTCAGTGCAGAAGGAATGAGTGCTTCCCATTTAAATAGTCTTTGACTGTCCCTGTGATTGACCAGTGGCTAACTGGCACTGACTTGATCGTCTAAAATCGCCCTTGTCAAAAATTGTCCATTTTTATCTCACTCGTTTCCTGTCAAAGGCTTACAAGCATGTTGTCAATGACACCACAGTCTTCAAATTGGACTTACCAGCTAAGAATAAAAGGTGAGTGGAAAGAGTTGCTCCTTGCCCAAATGATGTTTTCTTATCCATTTCGTTTTGTTAAACTTACTGGGTATTTTTTTCTTGCAATTTGAAACTTGACTGCCCATTCTATGATTATTTTTATATTGCAAGGTTTTAAAGATTAAAATTAATTTTGCGTGTGTGTAGCTTTTTTACTAGAAACTTCATTTGCTTCCCTCTCCTTTTGAGCAGCATAAGTAGTAAGACACAACCAGAGTCCAAATGTCCCGAACTTCTTGCCAACTACTGCGATCTCCTGCTGCGGAAGACACCACTGAGTAAGAAACTCACGTCGGAGGAGATTGAGAGCAAACTCAGGAACGTGGTAAGGAAGTAGCTCGCCTGTTGTTTCTCTTTTCTCGTTGTCTGAAACTCTGAACACCCCGATGAACACCCTTTGATATTTTTCAGACTTGGGAAAAGTTTTTGCTGCATATTCCATTTTTAAACTCGTGGCCAGAGTTCAGTGGACGGTATATGATTTTTTGTTTTTTTAGATGGGGCTTGGGGCTGTGTGTTGTGTCCATAGGCAAGGCTGTTTACTCCAGAGATGGAATCGAGTCCACAGGTCATTCACAAGTCAGGTTACGAATACTAAGATGAACAGTGACAAACGAATACTCCGTTTGTGTTTAAGAGCTTCTTACTTGCATCAAAACTTTTGTAATGGAGCTGTGAGGACTTGTATGGGATGGACTTGTACCTACGTTGGTCAACTGTGTCCAGTTGGACTGGTTGGGGCCATTCATTTGTGAAACATTTCGGCGACTCCTGCCTCTTTCTTTGCTAGGTCTCATGGCTAGGTTTCATTCACCCTTCCTTCCTGGTCCTGTTTTCTCTGCAATTTTAAATTGCAAGACAAATTAAGCCCCATATGTGAAAGTAGCAGTAGATGGACTACTCACTCCTCACTCCAGATGGATTCGGAAGAATCCTGGAGGGGTTAGGAATGAAGCTCAACCGTCTCGTTCTTGTCACTGACAGCTTCTGGTACTGAAGTACGTGCAGAACAAAGACGTGTTCATGCGTTACCACAAGGCCCACCTGACGAGGAGGCTAATCCTGGACACATCGGCGGACAGCGAGAAGGAAGAAAACATGGTGGAATGGCTCAGGGTAAGTTGCTACCTAAGCATCTCTCATCCAGTTAGAAATGATCCATGTCGGTACTTGTGCACTGTTCAAGTTTTCTGTTCTTAATGGCGACACTGCGGCGCCCTCGCGGATAATCCAACTGTGAAGATGTTGAGTTGGATTGTCAAATTTGCATGAAAAGTATGAGAGGCAATGGTGCACATTTAGTTTGCCTCACTTGACATTGACATTTAGGGTGGTGGTGAAGTTTCCTGAGCTTCCGTCTCTGCTCAGCCATCTCGTGACAGGTGGCCTCAGTGGCCGTGCTCTGAGAATGTTGCCATGATCTGAATAGACCTCTACAACAATGGCTATGTCTGTTGTCAGTGTACTGTGTACCCACAACTGAGCACTAGCCCTAAAACCGGGACACAACCTATGACAGAAGCCACCGGTCACCTTGACAGTGTCAGTATTGAAATCTTTGAATGCAGGAGGTTGGCATGCCGGCCGACTACGTCAACAAGCTGGCGAGAATGTTCCAAGACATCAAAGTCAGCGAAGACCTCAACCAGTCTTTTAAGGAACTTCACCGGAACAATTACGACAGCGTAGCTGGTACGTCGTCAAATGGCCTCCACCATTTTCAGATGGCTCAACAGTGCATACTTTAGTTTCATAAATAAAAAACTTCAGCATAGTTTTTAGAACACGGAGTGAAAAATTTCGCTTGTGTTGTATGGAAAATTGCTTCTCAAAATTTTACAGGTTACTGTATAGATACACGTTTTGCCCAAAAAACACAAGTTTTCTAAAACACGAACACTTACCTTGCCATTTCATATTGAGTGTTTTTGCTATTTTTTGACATATATTTATACTTGGACTAAGTTACTTTGTCAACTATTTTTTCCAGACAACATTAACATCAAGATTCTGAATGCTGGGGCTTGGTCGAGGAGCTGTGAGCGAGTTCCCGTCTCCCTCCCTGTGGAACTGGAGGACTTCATCCCGGAAGTGGAGGAGTTCTACCGGAACAAGCACAGCGGCCGGAAACTGCAGTGGCACCATCTCATGTCAAATGGCATTGTAAGGTTCACGGCCCCCCGTCGCAAAATGACACGACCCCTGAGCTCAGGTCCGATTGACATGTCACTGACAGTTGAACCTCAGTGCTGAAAATGAGGTATTGACGAATCCGATGGTGACGGTTATGCTGTACCTAAGTCGTTTGCGGTGGCCCCCAATAATGGCGGAGAGCTTTGTGATGACTATTGTGTGGAGCCATTGTTCTGCGACAGTTGCTCCCTAAAAACACATCCTGTCCACCCTTAAAACAGGGCAAAAATGACCGGGAACAGTTATGCAGAACCGAAGAAGCACACAAGTGACCGCTGGAGAAATGATTATTGTGGAGTTTCTGTCCTCAAGAGCTAAGCATAGCGGACTCTTGGTGTGTAACCAGTACATTCTTCCATTGCAGATCACATTTAGGAATGAAATCGGCGTGTTTGACCTGGAGGTCACCACCTTCCAGATGGCGGTGCTCTTCGCCTGGAACCAGCGACCCAAAGACAAGATCACGTTGGAGAACTTAAGACTGGCAACGGAACTTCCAGACAGTGAACTGAGGAAGACGCTATGGGTAAAGCAGAATGGCTTGGTTCCAAAATGCACTGTGTTTCACTCACTGTTACTGAGTCCTCTTATCGGCTGGGTCTGTAAGTTGGCCAAAAAAATGCCGGTTTAATGAAAGCACGTTTCCTTTTTACTGACAGTCTCTTGTAGCTTTTGCCAAAATGAAGCGGCAGGTCGTGCTGTGCCATCCCGAGGCCAAGTCACCCAAAGACTTCACCGATGCGACGGTGTTTTGGTTCAACCAGCAGTTTGCCGTCATGTGAGTTTTGCGAATTGGAAGCCCACCCCCATCAAAAACGTGATTCCCGACGTGAACTTTGAGATCCAAAGACCGCCTTCCACCTTTTAGATTTGTCTTACCCTCCCCGTTTGAGTTCCTGATTGTCTGTCGTTTCCCATTGGTGCAGTAAGAACGGAAAGCCCCAGAAGCGAGGCAAGATCAATCTGATTGGACGGTTACAGCTGAACACGGAGAGGAGTGCGGAAGAGGAGAAAGAGGGTATCGTACAGCTGAGAATACTCAGAACGCAGGTGGGTGTGTGCTGCGCGGTCGTGAATTTCCCGTCCGAGTTTACCTCCAAATCTAAAAAAAATTTTTTTGAGCATTTTGTTGATTTTCAATTTGTTGATCCTTTGGATGGTAATTTTGTTGTGTGTGTTGGAAGGGCATTTTCTAGGTAGTACATTACACTGCATATTTGCACTTTAGTTTGTTAGTGACAATAACCTGGCATTTTTAAGGTGTTCAGTGTCTGGCAAAACCTCCTCAGAGGTGCTCAGAACTCACCGCTACCATTTTAGGTACAAATGGCTAAACACACCAACCATCTCTGTCCTCACCGTACTCACTCCCGCATTTGAGAGTGGTATGTGGGGTGAACTTGCTAGCATGAAAGGCGGAGTTGCGGTGACCCCTGTAACGACACCCCGCAACCGCGGTCCACCGTCCCTATTTTTCTTGGAGAGTTGTTCTGATCAGGGGGATATCCGTGAGAGTGATTTTGAAACGGAAACTGAGTGTTGGAACGTGGGCATTGTTTCTTGCAGGAGGCCATCGTGAAGATCATGAAGATGAGAAAGAAGATCACCAACGCCCAGCTTCAGACGGAGCTGGTGGAGATCCTGAAGAACATGTTCCTCCCCCAGAAGAAGATGATCAAGGAGCAGATCGAATGGCTGATCGAGCACAAATACATGAGGCGGGAAGAGAACAATATCAACACCTTCATCTATCTGGCTTAGTGACGCCTTCGGCAATTGGACGACTGCACTGTGGCAACTGAAAGGAGAGCCAATCAGGATGTGTGTGACTGGTGTCTAACAGTGACTCTGATCGTTGGCCGACCTGTACTCTCCGACCAGTGATGTCGGCCACTCACGAGCTGGCTTTCACAGCACTTTGGCACTGTCAGTAATATGGTGCTTCTGATTGGCTACTGACATGGCTTCTGGTTTGCAATAACCAATCAGATGTTTTGTTGATAACTGTTTATGAACACTTTCAACAAGGTGCTGTGTTTCTGAATTCACGGACAGGTGCCAGGCAGACGTACTTTGAGCTATATTGTGTTTTAAAGTGTTTTACACTGTCAGGGGTAGTAATTTCGTGCAGTAATTGTTAAAGAAAAAAAAATTGGGATTTTATTCAAGTAGGTTGACGTAAAACAGTTAAAAACTACACAAAGAAGTTTTTTGGGTAAAAAATCCCTTTGTGCCCCTTTGAAACAAACCATTTACTTTTAAAGTGCTGTAGATTTTGTTGGAGCTTGGCCGACCAGTTTTGACGCTGAATTTGAAGAACTCCAACTGGTGAAATTCTTGTATAGAGGTTTTTGGCCTTCGCATTGTTCTGTTGATGGCAAGGCGTCACCGACGAGTGCACGCACGTACGTGGGCCTTTTTTCCGAAAGCGCGAAACTGCACAACGTTTCAAGTGTAGGATCTGACAAAACTGAAGCCTACGAACTGTTGTAAGAGTATTTGTAACCCCATGTCACCGCATAGGTAATACTTTATAAAAACAAAAACCAAGTGTGCCCAATCAACGTGTAGTTGGTGGATGTACATGTAGATTGCAATTCAGACACTGTTGCCATGGTAATGGCCAATCAGCACAGAGAATTTCAAAATTAAGCTTGATGCTTGAATGAGACAGACCAGGCTATTCATAATGTGCAAGTATGCACTACGTAATGTAATCACATCAACTACAAGTTTTATTCTAACATATTCACACTTCACTAAAAAAAGGGCATACGTGTATATATTTGTGCTAATCTTATGGATAAAGTGCACACAGATGAACGGTCTGCGTCCATTCATCATAAAACATCAAAGCGAAAAAAGAAGTTCCTTTTGTTGCATTCACATTAAGTTTCTGTACATTCCACAGTGCCACTGTGATAAAATGCTTGCTGCCACATCTGTATGCTTGGAACAGGGCTTGTTTGTCCCGTGTTCCAAAAGGAATGTTTAGACCGTCAAGAGGTTCTGTTCCCCAAGTTTACCCTCTTCTCTCTACAAAACATGGGGAATATGCTTTTTTTCTCTCTTTCCCCATGGGCAACCTTACGTGATTAAGATTGCAATTTTGAGACTTTTTCTGGCCAATTTGTGGTACAGTCTTGCACAAAAATCAGCGGGAATAGGCTTTGAACTGCGAGGTCTGGAACTTGAAAGTAATCTATGTATATGTCTGTCTTCCAGCACGGTTAATCTTCCCCCCATGAAAGTTTCAAAGTTTACCATAAGCTGTGACTCTCTGTATGCCCTCTGTACTTAACCCACAGAGACGAACGTTACTTAGGCCGCAACCGAATCTCTTGTCTAGAGCTAGGTCTAGGTCTTCGCTCCATTGGAAATGCGTGGAGACGCGCAGACAATAGACCTAGCCGTAGCTCTGGAAGCCCGTTTCGGACACGGCCTGAGCTTATTAAAAGTCGGAGAATGAAACTGGTTTTTGTATAATGTTTTGACTGAAGCAACTGTGACCACAATGGCGTGTTGAATTTGTACAGAAATTATTAAAACAATTACCAAGTACAAGAAATCTGTTCAGGAATTCTGCTGTGCTGCTACCCATGCTCTTGCTGGGAAATCCTCTTTGTACGAGAATTGTATGCAATACGGCAAAGTAAGACAAACAGCTCATGGCCAGAGACTAAAGGTGCAAAGACCATTCTTGAATGGCCGACAGATGTCATCCAAAAGCCTATCTCTCGTCCTCAACATCCTAATCAATTTCTGGGTTGGTTAGAGTTGAGCACAGGTCAAGTACAAAATTAATTAGCTGATCTGAGGAAAGAAGCTGCAAGCCTGATATCACGGAGAATTGGCAAATCGTGCACAAATTGACTTGAGTCAGCGCATGCTTTTGCACAAGATAAACTCTCCCATCTGTAAATGGGCATTAATTGTTGAATTTAAACAGTGGGGTTTGGGTTTGATAATAAGTGCTGTCCATCCAAGTTGATGATAAACTATGACCCTCTGTAGGACAAGCATGCGTTTATAAACAAATATACTTTACAATTGGGAAGTCTCAAACAGCTACGGTTAAGGATGCCGAGTGTCCAGTCTGTAGACCATAACAGAGAAAGGTGTTAAGTGAGGTTCAAGACAGGTTTGGAGCGTTTCTAGCTGTACAATGTTTCTTGACATTTCCACTGACAACAATTCAATGCAATGTAGTGATTGGATCATTTGGCTGGTGCTGCAGGGGGTAATTCAACGCTCTGAACCCTCGAGAGCATCACAGATGCTTGCTGGTTGAGCTCATCGATGCGTTCCTGCCACGTAAGACAAAATATAGATTTTAAAAAAAGTTACTCAAGGTAACACATGTCAACCTGCAATGGATGGCCTACTTTTTAGAGAAATTTTCTGTGTTTTAGTTAGCGGCAGTTTTCCCCTCAGGGTGAGCTAAGCCATAGAATGGCACACCTGCCAACATTGTAAAGTCAGAATTCAGGACATCAACTTTAAGAACCCATAGTAAATCAAGCAGCCGTGTGAAAGAAGCTTTTTAAATGTGCACATGCGTGCATATAATGTGTAAAAACAACCATTTGACGAGCAAATGGTGCCCTTTTTTTTCTTCTGTAAATAGCGCCCTCTCTTGCTGGGACTTTTAAAAAAATAAAAAAAAAACCTTAAAATTAGGGACCGTTTAGATTTAATCGGAATGGTAAGTAGGTACGTAATGAATCTGAAGTAGGAAAAAACAGACACTTTTAGGTGCTAAGATAGAGTCAGCTGGAAACTCTACATTCGCCTGGTTAACTGGTTTTTGGCTATTTGTTTTTCAGTTTAGCCTGACAGGTCCACGAAGCAAGGCCCTGATGGAATCGTCTTGTGAGACTTACATCAATGATGGCCTTGTGCTCTGCTACCTTGGTGCAGGCAAGCAGGAGGAACTGCTCATAGTCCTTGTATTCTTGCTGCATCTCCACCACTTGCTCCTGACACCTGCGGGCAAGAGTGATACCAAAGCAATCCATGACCGTCCCATTTGGCATCCAGTGGTCAACCGGTGCTGTCTTTGACCACGAAGAGCTAATTCTCAGAGCAGTGAGAATTCTCGTACCTGGTGATGAGCTCACTGAACCCGGCCTGTGCTCTACTCTCACCACACTGAATTATTTCATGCGCAGAATGGTGAGTAGCATACCTTGTAATGAG